AAAAAAAAAAAAAAAAAATGAGGCCCGAACAAGGACAATTATTATTTGGAAAAAATAGAATTTTAATTTTAAATTTTTTTTTTTTAAAACTGTGTAGTTAAAATAACAGTAGTCATAGCTAACGGTTAATGTATGATTTGTCTAATTTGTATCGTTTGAACGGCAACCCCTAAATTGAAACCTCGCCAAAACCCTCACCCCGCCACCACCAGCCTCTATCCACGCCCAGTGTTACACAGAGATGTCTACTTCCTTAGCAGAAAAACCAGATTCCATGCCTGAAACTCAACATGAAAACGGAGAATATGAAGGAGAAGAGGAGGAAGAGGAGGAGGAGTTGTCATGGTCATCGGAGTCCGAAATAGGGGAAGCTTTGGATTTTTTGGATTCAAGGGACGATGCAGAAGGTGGAAGAATGGATGGAGGCACATTCACTCTGCTTCACACCAGGCGCCCGAATGCCCATGGTGGGCTCCAGTCTCGGCCTAACACTTCTTCGCTCCAGCCAATCTCCAATAAATCCCAGAAGTTGGCCAATCGCATGAGGGCCTCACCCTTGGAGGTATGAATGGATGAATTATATGATTTTTGGAGATGAAAATTGACTGAATCAATAATTTTGGAGAGAAGAAAATAGTTGATTTGTTTGTAAACTTTATGCCGAAATCATTGTATCAAAATGGGGTTGAATTGAACATTATTCGTGGGGTTAATGGAACATAATTTATGGGCGGTACATTTTGCTTCAAAATCTTTCTACCTTATAAATCATATGGGTAGTCTAGAACTTTGATACTTGTAGTGAGGTTAAGAAAAAAATTCGAAAATTTGATAACCTTCAAGTTTAGATTTTTAAAATTTTATATATTTGGCCAATTAACATATTAATCACTCAGCAGAATGAATGGACTACTCGCGGTATCATAGCAGCCTTACGCGTGAATATTAAATTACTTATATCTCTTACAAGAAGAGGATAATATTGGTGTGTTATTTTTAAGGTGTTTGGTGTGTGGATGGTTAACTTCTATGTCATATGCACTGATGCCAGTGAAGAGAGAAAATATATTGAGAAGTTTACACTCTGGCAGCGCTTCAGATGTGTGTTCTTTTTGCATATCCTTGTTTTGTTGTGGACAATTATGTGGATATTTTTTGAAACTTATAAAAAGGAGAAGAATGCGAAGTTTCAAGCCCTGAAGGCACTTCATCTACATGTTCTTTTTGCATCTTATCTACTTGCATATGTAGTTGCATGAGGTATCTGCAACGTAACCTAAAAGCAAAGAGCTTTTTTTTTTTTTTCCTTTTTTAAGCAAAACACCAACACATTTTCAATGGGTTTTCAAGCTCCACCAGGGAAGGTGACGGGGTTTGGATTCCCTAATAGTATTTATAAAGTCAAACTCATGAGAATAAGAGGAAGGGAGACATAAATCTGACCTTCCAAAAGCAAAATAATGGAACATGAAGGAAATGAATAAAAAGGGAAGTACTACTTCATATACAAAAAGAGTAAGTGAGAATAAAACTAACGTCCTTTAATAATAGAAAATCCATATTTGTCTTACAAGAGCTCGAAGTCATCATGATAGGTGAAGAGGACCATACTATTGATAATGACTTTAATCCCAACCCTCGGATGCAAGTGAGTGACAATCTGGTTCTCCTCTTGATAAATATGGAAAATAGTATCATGGTCAAGTGAGAGGTGTCTGGTTTGTCTAAAAATAATCTGAATCGCCTGTGATCGTCCGCACCTGGTGATGCAGTGAACGGTCACAGACGAGTCGGCCTCCATTCAAATATCTGATAATCCAAGTTCTTGAGCAAGTAAAATTCCATCCAAGATGGCGCGTAACTTAGCCTCCAGAATAAGTTAGTTTCCATACGATGATGAGAAAGACCTAATGTAATGCCCATCCTGGTCTCGAATAATGCTCCCAGCACTAGCAAATCAATTATTGACGCATCCATCAATGTTAATTTGGTAAGATTCCACTGGTGGAGTACGCCAAAAAACCAATATAGGGGTTGCTGGTGGAGGAGTCAAAGAAAAACCAAAAAATGAGGCGATAGCCAAATCTTCACAACAATGAATATGCCGGAATAAGTGACCCATATGGTCCTAAAGGCAAAGAGCTTTCCGGTCATGAATATTGGACTGTGTAACATGAATTATTGTGGTATTGCAGCAAGTTTTACTACTTGATGGCGATTTAAAACATTGCGTTTGGATCTTCTACACTAATGGAAAACAATTTGAAGTTTCAGAATTTATGATTTAAAATATGTATATTCATGGAATGGGAGTAAGCAGTAAGCGCAACTGTGTACCGGCTTGAGAAAAAGATGAAATACATTAAGGCTGATTTACTATGGTAGAGAGAATTAAAAGACAACATGAACTATGATTTTCATTAACATTAGAATTAGAATTATGTTACTGGAGCAAGATTTTGCCACTGCAGAATTGGACATTTTTCGCACAGGTGTTATGAGTATGTTTTTTCTGCCAGTTTGATTTATGAGTAGTAGATTTTCCTCTTAATTGATGTGGTATGCTATTTGGCTTTGAATTTGTCCATAATTTGAACTCTACGAGAAAGGAATGGCTATGAATAGAGAAATTCAGAATATTAATTCCAATGTGTACAAAACTTGACTCCTTATACACAATGATATCAGTTGACATGGCCTTCACCCCATCAGGATTACCTTCAAGAAGTCTAAAATTCTCTTGCATCCCTTCACGAGTTCTACTTCCTTTATTTTCTTTCCAGGTTAAAGAAGAAGAAGAACCCTGTTGACAGGTGCAGAGCTAGAGGGACAATAATATATATATTATTTTTTTTCCTACTGGACTGATACATAGAAAAAAAATTCCAAATAAAATTATTTTTTTAGACTAAAATGTAAATTGGGCTTGGGGGGGCAATGCAGGGCTAAAGCCCGGCCCAGCCCCCTCCCTACGCCCCTGCCTGTTGACATGCCCTTCAACCTGTTAGATTACCTTCACAAAGTCTAAATTTCTCTTGTATCCCATAATTACCAGTAAGTAGTTATTTGCTATACTTAATTATTTTCTTTCTTTTCTTTTGCTCTTTTTCTCATATCACATTTCTTGAAGGGTCAGTCTGATGTGGCATGAGTTCAACATGGGCAACATATTTCTTGAATCTGAACTCTACTATTACCTATATATTCAATGATCTTTCGAATATAATTTTTGAACTTCCACATCAGCTTGCAAACATAATTATCCTTTGGGGTAATGAAAGTGCAGGCTTAAAGTGAAATTTTATTTATCATCTTATTCCTCATTAACTGACATTGTTCTAAAATTTACGATGTTTCGTTCAAAAATTGAACAAAATCTCTGCAGTTGGTGGTTGTTAATTTCAGTTTGCTTCGTTTTTTTTTTTTTTTTTTTT